AGCACAATTCCTGCTCTCCCTGTGCAAWCCCAGCTTCCCAAAATGTGCCGAAAACAAGAATCATTTGGGAATGGAAAAGTCCCTAAAATCATCCAACCCCATGGAAATGGGGAATTGCTTCCTGTGAGGAGCTTCTCCCTCTCCTCTGGGAGGACAGGGAAGCTYCTGACTGCACTTCCCACCCCAAATCCAGGGAAAAATGGGGCCCTTCCCACTTTTCTTCCAGTGCTGAAAGGAAAAATCAGATTCCTCCTTTTCCATCTCCTTCCCAAACCCAAATACTGGAATTTTCTGGCTTTTCCCRCCCTGGATCTGAAGGAATCCCCGCACCAACGTTCTGCATTTATTCCAACCGGGATTTGGGAATTGCAGCCGGGATTGCTCCAGAGCAGAGGGATCACGGGAAGGGGGCGGAAAAAGCCTCCAGCACCATCCAGGGAACGGCAGGACCCGAAAAAGGAATTTCCCGAGTGGGAAAAGTGAGCAAATCCCGAGGAATTGGGAACGTCCTGTAGAGGGCACAGCGAGCCCGGGAACGCAGTGCTGCAAATCCAGGGATTCCCGAGCCCTTCCCAAAGAACAGCGGGATCACAGCGCTGCAAATCCAGGGATTCCCGAGCCCATCCCAGGAACAGCGGGATCAGGAGGGGCTGGGGCTGAGCAGCGCTGCAAATCCAGGGATTCCCGAGCCCTTCCCAAAGAACAGCGGGATCACAGCGCTGCAAATCCAGGGATTCCCGAGCCCATCCCAGGAACAGCGGGATCAGGAGGGGCTGGGGCTCCGGATTCCCGGGAATCCTCACCCTTTGGACGTGCTCATGTCCACGGGCTCGTCCCCCGCCGGCAGCTCCACTTTGATGGTGGCTTTGACTTCCCCGCTTTTCAACAACCCCGGCATTTTCCCGGCCCCGGGATCTGCCTTGATTTTCACGTCCCCCTCGGCGCTGAGCTCCGACCCCGCGGTTCCTTTTTCCATCTTGAGTTTTTTATTTTCCAGCTCGGGGGGAGCCGCATCCTGCTCCAGGGCGCGCTTCTGGCTGCGGGTCCGGCATGAGTCCTCGCTCATGGTGAGATCCTGGAGAGGGGAAAGCCCGGGAAAGGGGTCAGAATCACCGGAAAGGGGGTGGAAAATCCCAGAAAAGGGGGTAAAAAATCCCAGAAAAGGGGGTAAAAATCCCAGAAAAGAGGGTAAAAAAATCCCAGAAAAGGGGGTAAAAAATCCCAGAAAAGGGGGTAAAAATCCCAGAAAGAAAAGACATCAGGGAGCTTAAAATTCCCTGGGAAAAGGAGACACCAAGGGGTTAAAAAATCCCGGGATCAAATCCCTTCAATTCCAAACAGGGCAAAGTCCAGAGGGTGCTGGGAAARAAGTCCGGGAAGAGCAGCCCAAGGGCTGTTCCCAAATCCAGCGGGTCCAGCCCCACTCCCGCTTTTCCTGTGSAGCAAAATCCAGCTGGGAACAGACTCCAACTCCAGGGGGAGCATCCAGGAGAAATCCCACCTGGAATTCTGGGATGGGAGAGGATCCAAACCTCAGCATTCCCTGGGAATTTGGGATCGCTCCGGTCCCTGTTCCCGTGACCCTTCCCAGATCCAGCCAGCAGAGAACTCCCCAAAATTCAGGTTTTCCAAACTGGATCTCCTGATGGAATTCCAGCAGGAAGAGGGATTTGGGTGTTGGGAATTGGAAGAGAAGGGGGAAATGGGTTAGGAACAGAGCAGCTGGAACTGCAGCAGGACSCCCCTCCCGGGGCTGTGGGACGCAGAAATCCCATGGATTTCCGGGGGGTTTTTGGCAATTTCATGGAGCGGCAGCAGCTCCAGGAGTCCCAGGGTTTTTTTGGGAAGTGCAGGCTCCTGGAGAGGCCCGAATTCCCGGCTGGAAGGAGCCAGGCAGGCGTTCCCAGCCGGGGGGAGCTGGGATTGCTCCGGGATTGCTSCGGGGATCATCGGGAGCTGAGTCAGGCTCTGATCCCGTGACCCTTCCCAGGGCTCAGCCCGGACGGACAAAGCCTTTTCCAGAACCAGTCTGAGCTGGGAAAGGGAAAGGGCTGGGAAAGGGACACTGCTCATCCTGCCCGGAATCTCTTGGGAGAGCACAAAAAACCCCAAACCCTCTGGAATTCCCAACTCATTGAAGCCCTGGATCTGCCTGTGATGCCGTCTCTGTTTTCCGTGGGGAAAAGAATCCCAAAATTCCTTATCCTGCCTCCCAAACCTTCCCTCCTTCCAGGGGGAACAGAAACCTGGAGGAATTCCCGGTGTTTTTCCAGCAGGATTCTCCTGGATTCTCTTCCAGGAGAATTCCGGCCCCTCCAGTGCCCAGGGCAGGGAAAAGGGGGAAAAGAGGGGAAAAAATCCCTCAGAAGTTGCAGGGAAACCTTGGAAARGAAAGATTTTAAAGTGAATTTTCCAGGTGTGGTTCCAGCTGCTCCAGGAATGGGAATGAGGTTGGAATTGGAGCAGTTTTGGAGAGAAATTCCTGATGAAAATCCCAATTAAAATTCCAGTTAAAAAGGACAAACTTGTCTGGAAATTCATTTTTTTTCCCCACATCTCTTCCTCTCCAGGAATTCCTCTCTATTCCCATCCAGTTCCTGGAATTCTGGGAGCCCAAAGCCAAAATCAGCAACCAAAATTACAGGAAAAAAAGGAAAAAAACCCCTGAATTCCCAGAGGTGGAAAAGTGGGATTCAAACACATCTAGGGTTCCTCAGGGAATCTTTTCCATGGATTTGCTGCTCGTGAGGATTCCCTGGATCCCAGCAGGGATTGATGGATCATCCCCACAACATTCCTGGGAATTTCTTTCCCTGAGGATTTTTTCCCTCGGAACTCGCTGATCCCGAAGCCAGGAGTGGGATATCCTGGGAAAACCCATGGGAATTCCCAGCAAATAACCCCAATCCCTGGACGTGCAGGAGCGCAGCAAATCCATGGAGATTCCCAAAGTTCCAGCCGGGAATTCAGCACCTGTCCCGCGATTCCCAGCCCGAAGCCATGGACACCAACAGGTGGGAATGAGGAGAATCCCTGGAGCAGCCCCAGCCCCAGAGGGGAGCGGGGCGGGGAGGAGGCGGAGCCGCCGGGATTTCGGGATTTTGGGATTTCGGGATTTCGGGATTTCGGGATTTTGGGATGGGGATTCCCGGGAAGGGGGGCGGCTCCGGCTCCCGGCGGAATTCCCGGCGGGCTCGGCATTCCAAGGGTTAAGCGCTGCCATTTTGTTCCCGGACACTTCGGGAATGGCACGGAAATGGCAGCGCTTAACCCTTGGAATGCCGAGCCGGCAGTGGGAATTCCCGCCCGGCATTCCCGGGATTCCCGGCCCGAGCCCCCGCCCCGCTCCCACCGGGATCAATCCCGATTCCCCCGGCCATTCCCGCAATGGGAATTCCCGGCATTCCCGGGATCCCGCGCAGCTCCCGCACCCCGAACCCGCGGGAAGCTCTCCCGAGGATGCTCCGGCGCTGGGAAAAGCGCGACAAAACCGGGAAAAGTTTGGGATGAGGTSCCTGGAGCAGCCCGAAGGGGCGGGAAGCAGCTCCAGGAATTCCAGCCACGGGGATCGGCCGCTCCCGAGCTCTCCCTCGGGAATTCCGGAGCTGCGGGAAGCGSCTCAGCCCCTCCCGGATGGAATTTTTTATCCAAAGGAATTTTTTAAGGAGCTGAGCTCAGCCGGGATTTTGGGAGCGGAATTCCCGCTGCTTCCCACGGRATTTGGGGCAGCTCATCCTTAAAAATTCCTCATCCTGGAAGTTTGGAGCACCAAAGGCTCTGGGGACGTGGGAAAGGAGCATCCCAAAATTACCGGGAGCTGGAGAAAGGGGGAACAACGGCTGCCTGGAAAAATCCAGGCAGGAATTCCGGGAATTTCGATCAAATTCCAGGTGAACTTTCCCGGGGGGAGATGGAATTATGGGAGGAATTTGGTGGCTTTGATGGGAATTTTCAGGGAATTCTGAGGTTAATGGGAAAATTGTATGAAAGCCACTAAAATGCCTTCCAAAATCCAGTTTTCCCRCTTTTCCTGGGGGAATTACTCCCAAATTATTCCCAGCTGGAATATTCACGGCTGGACACAGCAGAGTCCCAGGCTGGGCTTTTTGGGAATGAGCTGTGGGATTTGGGATGGGACCCCTGGGACTGCACAGGAGGAAACCCAGGAGCAGAATTCCCAACTTTTCCTGGATTTTCCAGGYCCATCTTCCCCATTATTAATTAATCATTAATTAATTATTAATCATTATTTCTCCATTTTATTTTCCCTCCCAAACTCCTCCTTTAAGAGAGCAGAATTCCAAGGGTTTTTTTTTTGGTTGGGAACAGCTTTAAATATTCCGGAATTAATTTAAATGTATGTGAATTGATTTGACTATTAATGCATTGATTTGAATATTCATTGTTCAATTTAAATATTAATAAAGGTGATGGCGATCGGATCCTTCCCAATGAATTCCTCGTTCAGGGAGAGCTCCTGGAATTTACGGCCAAAATTCCATCCTTAAATATTCCCAATCCCCAGCAGCTTTCCCAGCCCCAGACGCCGGGAACGCGGGAATTCCAAGCTGGGAATTCCAAGCAATTCCTGCATTTTCCAGCTGCAGCTTTTCCAAACCCAAACACTGCTGCTCATTCCCACAGGGAATTCCTTCACCCCGGGATTRTCCCAGAGGGAAGCAGGAAAAGCACCACAAGGGGAAATCTGGATTCCAGAGGAATCTTCTTATCCAACCATCAAATTTCCCAGCTTTTCTAAAAGGAATTTGAAGACAAAATCAATTTTTTTATGGATTTCCTCAGGTTTGGGATTAAAAAAAAATGGGATCCCCTCCAGCCCCAGAGCCTGGGACAGGCAGGACTGGGGGGAAAAATCCCACCCCGGGATCCATCCCAAAATCCCACCCCGGGATCCATCCTGGAATTCCTGCTGGGATCTGTCCCTAATTCCTGCTGGGGGACGCTGCCGGCGGGGACGGGGGAGACACGGATGGGACAGGGGAACACCTGGACAGGTAAAAACAGCGACACGGGGAGGGGACACTGCGACAGGGGACAGTGGCACAGGGAGGGTGGCACAGGGGACAATGGCACAGGGGACACTGCAACAGGGGACAATGGCACAGGGGACAATGGCACAGGGGACAATGGCACAGGGGACACTGCGACAGGGGACAGTGGCACAGGGAGGGTGGCACAGGGGACAATGGCACAGGGGACAATGGCACACTGAGGGTGGCACAGGTGAGACAGACCCTGCACAGGTGAGCCCTGCTCAGGTAAAATCCTCCACCTGCCGGGGCAGAGCTCGGCCGCAGCTCCTCCCTCCCTGAGCATTCCCAAATCCCAAATCCCAACCCCCAAATCCCAAATCCCAAATCCCAAACCCCAACCCCCATTCCCAATTCCCATTCCCGGCGCTGCCCAACGCTCCCGATCCCCTGCCAGAATCCCGGTGGGAATTCCAGCGGGTTTGGATCCTCTCATCCCAGCCCAACCTCCCCAGCTGAACTTCCCAATCCCACAGAAAATCCGGGAGATTTCCCTCCTCGGGAATTGGGTTAAACTCAGGGGAACAGAGGTTTTTGGGAATCGTGGAGCTCCTCCCCAGCTTTTCCAGGATTAAATTCCAGCCTCCTGGCCCAGCTCCCCAGTTCCAGCACTGGAATTCCAGCCCACGGCGTGCCAGATTCCCATTCCATGGAATTCCATGGAATTCCCAGCTCCTACCTGTCAGGGACGGTCATGGGTTCCCGCTGGGATCCAGCCAGAGCTGCGGATCCTGAGGGGAGAGAGGATGATCAAAAATCCTGGAATAAAAACCTTCCCCAGGGAATCATCCCAAAACTCGGAYCCCAATGGGGATTTCAGGAAAGGAACTTTTGGGGTTTTATCTGGAGTTTTTTGGGCTTTCCTGTAAAGTTTTAGGGAGGAGCCAACTCCTTCCTGATCCCCTGCAGAAGYGACATTCCCGACTTTCCCCAAGGAGAACAAGGCYGGGATTTATCCYGRATTTATCCTGGAGATCACTGTCCAACCTTAAACCCCACATCCCATTGGGATTTACCCCAACAGCAGCCCCAWGTCCCGGCAGGAAATCCCTGGAATCCCAACCCGGGGAGAATCCCATAGAAAACCCGACTCCAGAGGGGCTGGAAAACTGGGGCAGGATTTCCATGGATCCTCGGGAACACGGCCGGGACAGGGCCAAACATTCCCTGATGGATCAACGGGAATCCACGGAAACAGCCCCGGGATTTGGGAATTCTGGGACAGCTCAGCCCCGGGATTTGGGAATCCCAAAGCTATGGCAGCACCATGAAAATTGGGAATTCTGGCACCACAGTCAGCCTTGGGAATTGGGAATGCCCAAACCATGGCACAACAATGGGATCTGGGAATCCCAAAACGACGGCACCACCACGGGACTCGGGAATCCCAACAGCAGAGCACAGCCACGGGATTTGGGAATCCTGAGTGGGAATTGTGGGATCAAACACCGAGCACAGCAAAACCCAGGGRTTGTTCTGCCTTTCCCAGCAGAACTCCCGGATCCCGCGGGATCGCGGCACCGGAGAGAACCTGAGATTCCCAAGTTTTCCTACGGATCAGGGAGCCGGAGCTTCCCAAAACTTGTCCARGGATGAGCAGGGCCTGGAGCATTCCCGGTGTCCGGAGGATCCCCAGGAGCTGTCTGACCCCACATTCCAAAGGTTGGGATTTCCCTGGATCCAGCCCTGCCCGAGCCTTTCCCGAGGTGGGAATTCGGGGCTGGGAAGCTCAGGAAATCATCCCAGAATCCACGGAGAAATGTTGGGAGGGATTCCTCCGGGAGCAGCTGCTCGGGATCCGTGGAATTGCAGCTCCAGGGTCTCCCAGCCCGGAATTCCAACATCCCACAAAGCCAAATCCTCTGAATCCTCTCACATTCCAGGCTTGGATCTTTCACTTCCGAGGGATTTGGGGGTCTYGTTCCCATAAAACAACTTCCAAATCCAGGGAAAAATCCCGGAATTCATCACCCACTGGGACAAAGAGCAGCTCGGACCTTTCTCTGTCATTCCAAGTTTTCCTCTTCCCTCTGGAATAACACCCCMATTTTTCCACAGGAACTCCAGGGACCCCATTCCCACCAACATTCCTGAATCCCACCGGGAAAAACGATCATCCAGGAAAATCCAGGAGGGATTTATCCCACAAAACCRAGCATCCCAAATTCCAGAGAAAGCCATGCTGGGGACTCTCCATGGAATTCCTGCCGGACAAACCTCCCCAGGCAATCCAGGGAAGAGAATTCCTGCACTTTTCAGAGGCTGAAAATTCCCATTCCACCCATTCCAAGTCCAATGAGAAATCCCAACCTTGGGATTCGCTGCCACAGAGGGCTCTGGATTCATGAGGAAAAACTTCCAAGGATTTCCTGCTCCAGCAGGAGAATTCCCAGTGCAAATTCCAGGSTCCAGTGGGGTTTTTAAGCTCTGAAATTCCCGGATTCCTCCCAGGACTCTTCTAAAGAATTCCAGGAAAAGTCCCGGGATAGAAGGAAGTCCTGGAGCAGGTCTGACCATCGTGGAATGGGAAATTCCCTGGGATTTTTAGGAATTCTGAGCCATCCTGTAGCATCCAGTGGTGTTTCCATCCAACATCCCAGACTGTGGAGCTTCCCCGTGCTGGCAAATCCCGGTGGGATCTTSTCACACCATCTCCAAGTTTCCTTTGGGAAGAGGGAAAAAAGCTCCTTCCAGGGGCTCTGATCCCAAAGCTTCCAAATTGGGGATATGGGAATAATTGGATTCCTGGCATATTCTCCACACACCAAATCAGGAATTAATTCCCACAGGGAATGTTCCAGCTCCGAGTCCTGCCAAAGAGGGGCACGAATCTTCCAAGGAATTTTGGTGGTTCCTCCAAAAGTTCAGGATTTTTCCTTCAGATGTGATGGAAAATGGGATGRACATGGTGGATGTGAGCTGAGATTTCCCCCTTCTCTGCGAAATATCCCAAATAAGAGGGAATTCGGGATCCCGACATTCTGCTGTCAGATTTTGTTCCTTTTCCACGGAAAAAAAAAGCAAGTCTGGAGCGAGATTTTCAGGAAATTGGTGCGGGATCCCTTTGGGACACAACCAAGTCCATCCCTGGGAATTCCCAGATCTCCCTTCATTCCCAGGAACAGGAGCAGCTCCAGCCCTGTGATCCCGAGCCTGGGAATTCCTGTGGGAATTAGAGGGACTGGCCCGGAGCCGTTCATGTTTAAGAGGATCTCGGAAAATCCCATTCCTCTGGAATTAGGGGCTCCCTGGAGCTGCRGGACGCTCGGAGCCACCCTCGGATCCAGGAGCAGCACAGACCTGGAATCCTCTGCATTTCGCTGGGAAATCGTGGAATTCCAGCTTTCCAGCTGTGCTTGAGGCCTGGAATTCTTGGGAAGTTCATTCCATAATCCATGGATGGTGCTCCCGGAGAGCTGAGGATGCTCCAGAACCTTCCTGGGAGAAGCCGGAGAGGGACGAGCGCAGGATTCCCGGGAAAGCTGTGGCTGCTCCATCCCTGGAAGTGCCCAAGGCTGGCTTGGATGGTGGGAAGAGTCCCTGGATGATCCTGGAGCTCCTTCCCACCCGAACCACTCCAGGATTCCAGGAAGGGTTTGCTCCGTATCAGGACTTCCAGTCCCTGTCCCAGATCCTGATCCCGGTCCCTGATCCCACACAGATCCCTGTCCCTGTCCCCGATCCCACACAGATCCCGGTCCCCGATCCCACACAGATCCCGGTCCCTGTCCCTGATCCCACACAGATCCCTGTCCCTGTCCCCGATCCCACACAGATCCTGATCCCTTTCCCACTGATCCATGGCAGATCCCGGTCCCTGTCCCCGATCCACGGCAGATCCCGGTCCCTGTCCATGATCCCACACAGATCCCGGTCCCTGTCCCTGATCCATGGCAGATCCCGGTCCCTGTCCC